TTCCCTTCTCTCACTTCGGACGAGCTCTGTCGTCGCCTTCGCCCGCCTCTTCACTCGATCGAGGTCACTGACAATCGCTGGCGACTTCTCTCCGGCCGCCGACCGCCGCCGACCCCACACTGGTCGCCCTCAAAGCTACTTGTCTTGCCCTCAAACCTACTAATTAGTTTGATTTTTGTTGTCTACCATTAAGAAATTTTAGCACTTTCTAAAATAAGCTCAATTATGTTTTATTTATTGCAATGCATTTAAAATAAATATGGATATGTGGTTTGATTGAGTAATAGATTATTGTTATTATTATTATAATACTGTGATAATAATGTATATATAGAAGATACGTAAAGACTGGTTGACCCGTTGGTTGGAGACTGATTGACCTGTACAGGATGGTGGGCCAACGGGCTTTCCTTTAAATACTATGGTTTAGTGCTATTCTCTACTAATTCATATGATACTGAATGAGAGTTATAAGGAGATGATTATTGTGCTAACGGACAAAGAGTGACAACTATGTTTACTTAGCCAACATTTTACTGATAGTGATATAATCCTGAAAAATATCATGATAACTATGACTTCTTACTTATTTAGTATGACTACTGAAATGCATGCTATTGAGATATTATTTTTATTATTGTACTGATTTATTATTACTGCATAGATTTACTATTATTGCATTATTCTATTTCTCCTACCACTAGATTATTATTGTTATAGATTTAGATACTAATACTATTTAATATTAGTGATTCAATGTATTAATACTAAGTATATGATATAGAATACCTAGATAGTATGGGTACACTATTATATGATTTTATTGTATTAACATGGTTTTGATAGTCTTTACATATGTTTTGATTTGTTACTTTATATGATTTCTATATTGATTGGTATTACGGCTATGACGATTTCCCTTTCTAGTTTGCCCTAGTTGGTAAATTTTGCTTTGCAGTCCTAAACTGGACTTAATTAGCTAATTCTTTTTTAACATCAAGCTTTCTAGGATTTTTTTTGTTACTATTTTAAATTCGCATTATGTTCTCATCAAGCTAGAAAATGATCTAGACTACTTCCAAATCATCATATATAGATCTTACTATGTGTGTAACTATTTCATGAAACTAATTAAATTGTCTCTACTTTTTAACATTTATGTTGAATCCCCTATTGTTCCTATTTAAATCTGCTTCCTAAAGCTTAATCCACATTTTTTCTTCATAATCCTTTATAGTTTGGGAAGTTTATTTAGTCACCCCTTACAATTCGACTGTCTTTGGAGCTAGACCTCTGTCACTAGAGTATGATTAAACTTGACATAACCAAACACTATCCTAATAACATTTAGGTCATGAAAATTTTGGTTATGTCCAAAAAGTTATTATGAATGATTTTCCTGCCTTCCGTGATTATTGCAAAACTCTGATTCATTTTAAATGTGAATGTTTTCATTTAAACATGAGTCTTATGAAGAATTCATCAATTAAACCTAAATCTATTATTGATACAGCAGCTCCTACTCATCTTGTGCAAAATAGTGGTTTATCTAATGAAGAGATGGAAATTATTACTGATACCAACTCTGTTTAAGTTGTTCTAACTCGTCCTATGCAAAATGGTGGTTTACCTGACGTAAGTATGGAGAATGTAACTAGTATCATTTGTAAGCTCCCTATTGAATGTAACCTTGTTCCTTCTAATTTAATTCCCATTGAAGGCATTTTTGCTTTTTCCAATTCACTAATTCAAGTTTCTCCTATTTTTGGGACTGACTCTCCTCTTGTACATAATGTTGTTACTAACAATAATGTTGAAGGTGAAGGTACTCACCGTGATGCCTTTATTTTTCTTGATGTTTCTAAAATGGTGCCATGTGTTAATCTCCTAGTTTCTATTTCTTCCTCGGTTGAAAAGTTGGCAGGAGATTTAAAATATAAGGAGGCTATTTCTGAGGACCTTAGTGGAGATTCAGAGGACTTTTGTCACTCAGAACATTCTCAAATTAACTTGGAGGAGGGAGAAATAAATTTTGCATATGAGAATATTTCTATTAATGTCATGGATAAATTAGGGGATATAAATTTAGTTAATGTAGCAAAAAATTACGGCTTTTGGGAATTTACTAAGAAAAAGAAAAAGAACAAGAAAAAGAAATTAATAGGATCTTATGTTGATGCTTGAATCATTAGATCTAATACTTCCTCTTAAAAACATTTTTAATGTTTAGTTCTTTAGTTTGGAATATTAGGGGTGTTGGTAAGGGGTTAATAATGCATATACTCAAGTCATTAAGGATATGTATGTAGGAGCTGTTACTTGGGTTCAAACACAAGGAGGTTGGACTAAATATTTTTCTATTTCAGTTAGATTACATAAAGGACCAGCTTTATGCCCGTATGTTTTTTTGCTTTAGTCATAGATGTTCTTATTAGACATTTGTAGGAGGATGTACCATGGCTCATGCTTTTGCTGATAGTATTTTTCTTGGTCATAAGACTAGAGAGGGAGTTGAATGTAAACATGAATTATGAACATCAACCATACAGTCTAAAGGACTTCATTTGAGTAGATCTAAAATTGAATATATTAAGTGTAATTTTTATAGTAATAAATCTAATGGGGGAATTTTGACTTTGGTTGATCAAGCAATTAATAAGAGTACATATTTTAAATATCTCGAGTCTATTGTCCAGAGTGATGGTGAAATAGATGGGGATATTATTAGTAGAATTCAAGCTAGATGGTTGAAGTGGAGAAATGCATTGGACCTAATGTGTGATAGAAAAACACCCTTCAAACTTAAGGAAAAATTCTATAAGAAGGTGATTAGACCTGTAATGCTTTATGACGAAGAATAATGGTAATTAAAATAGAAACATATAATTAAGTGTTGCCGATATGAGGAGGCTGCTTAGGCGAATCATTGGATTTACCCTTAGAATGCGAAGTGATCATATGCGTTGATATGTCACAAAAAATTATCTTGATCAGGCACAAATCTTGAGGCATAATCAAGTTGGAAACTTCGAAAATTAAATCGGAGACCATCCAAACTCCAATTTAAACAAACTTATAATCGAACTGAATGTCTCGAGAAGACGAGCCCAATGACACCAAATTCGACTCAATCTGAGCCTGAATGGGTCCAAATCAAGGGTTTGAAGCGCTGTTAAAGGGTTCAAACCACAATTTGGATTACCAAAAGGTTTCCAAATATGAAATGATTATATTCGAATCGAGCGGCTCGACGAGACAAATCCAACGAGCCCAAGATCATGTAATTCTAAGATCATTAAGGCATTCAATTGACCAATAAACGGTCCATGATAAAAAGGGATCGATATTAGCCGTCCATTCAAATCACTCCCATTTTGACCTTGATCATCCATATATTTACAAGCCATGCCACTCTCAAAAAACTATAAATAGCCCAAACTCTTCGCATGAGGGAGGAGGAGAAGAGGAGAAGGAAGGGAGGAATTTGGGAGCTCTCTTGCCACCAACCATCGCAGGAGTTCCTGCCGACCACCGCCGGAGCTCCTGCCGACCACCGTAGGGGTTTCTGTCGACCACCGCCAGTGTTCCTGTCGACCACCGCCGGTGCTCCTGTCAACCACCGCCGGGGTTCTTATCGACCATCGCCAGAGTTCCTGTAGACCACCGTCGGAGTTCCTGCCGACCACCGCCGAAGTTTTTCCTGACCACCGTCGGGGGTCCTCCCGACCATAGTCAGAGTTCTTCCCAACCACCGACAGACTTCTAACAGTCCGTCAACCGCCATCGGACTTCCACCATTTCGCTGACCTCTGCCGGACTTCCGCTCGTCCGTCGATCGCTGCCAGACTTTCGCTCGTTCGCCGACCATCGATGGACTTCCGCCAGTCCTCCTAACCACTCTCATCTGACTACGATCATCCCGACCTCCATCGCCATACAACGATCCTTCTGACCTATGTCGCTCGCTGACTACGGTTCTTCTGACCTATTTCGCTCGCCAACTAAGGTTTTGCCACCTTAAACAAACATGGAAACATTGATTCTTCCCACTCCTAACATATAATATACTATGTATGATGTATATTTGCTACATTAAGCTAAGACCTTCCCCTTAAGGAAGGGCCTCATTTGTAATGGATTGCAAACACTAATGGATTCATTCAAACTGGGCTAGGCCACGTGATTTTTTCCCCTTTTCAGGGGTTTCCACGTAAAAACTTTGGTGTCTCTTATAAATGCTACTCCCTCTCCTTTCATCTATTTGTGTGCTGGATCTTCGTACAACGCTAAGAAGTTAAACTTTATCACTCTCTACCGCCGCGAATTTTTCAGGACGCAATATGCGTGAAAAGGTTGTAGCAGCTCTAGTGGTAGATAAGATTAGAGAGAGTCACCTTAAATTGCTTGGTCACATAAAATGTTGGTTTTCTGATGACCTAGTTAGGAGACTAGATGTATTAGATTTGACATATGTTAAGAGAGGTAGAGGTAGACCTTAAAAGACTTGGCTATAAAATATTAGAAATAACCTTTTTTTAATTAAATTTAAATGAGAATTTGACTCTTACCAATACAATGAAGAAAAATGATTCATAGCTAACCAATATAGTGAGATAAAAGCTTAATGTTGTTATTGTATTAAAATTTATTTAATTTATTGAATAATAAAAAAAACTTACAAAATGAGTATGAAAATATTATGTGTATATGACTTACACTAGTATCCTCCAACCAAATTATAGAAAGCATAAATTTTATAAAGAATTTACATATCCACTATTAAGTTTTTATATATTTATATAATAAATATCTAAATTTTAATATTTATTTATATACCACTATAATCTTTATGTGATATTAAAATATTATTAATATTAATACATTTAAAACAAAATATAATTTTTCATATGTATATGTTTAATATTATTTAGATATCAGAGTATTATATAAATAAATATGAATTTATTTATTAGATTGATAAATATTTATCATAATTGCAGTCGAAGAGACTGAGCTGCCTTCCCGGGTTTTAGTCAGCAAAACCCTAGCTCGGGTGTAAGCTACCGTCTCGGTGTCCTCATGCAAAATGGCTGCTTCACTTTCTCCGCGCATTCATAACTCTCCCACCATGGCCACATCTCTCCGATCTCTTGTACGTCCCTTCCTAAGCCATAACTGGAGGTCATCTAATCATCTATTAAGACCACAGTCGTCTTTCTGTCTTCCCAACCTTAACTGTTCCCGTCTTCCATATGTCTCCTCTCGAAGGGCATTTGGTGTTTTTCACCCAAGGGGTCAGTGTCTTTTTGTCCGCGTGCTACAGAATGGCGTAGCAGAACCCGCGCCGAAAGATACTGCTGCGGATGCCGAGTTGCAGGCTAGAGGGGATAGCACGATGCCGGAAAGGTTCCGCCACCTCAACAAGGAGGCACCTGATCGTCCGGTCCGGTGGCCGTGGGCAATTGGTACGTTAATTAAGAAACAATGTTTGTTCTTGTTCATCCATTGTCCTACTTATGGTAATCTGATTTTAGACATGTTTATGCTGGTTTTGATGCATTGTCATTTTTTGTTTTCAGTCAGGATGATGTATTTTATGTGGAATTTTATCTTTTCAATTCATTTCAGTTGCTCCCATTTCATGCCTGCTGCATTCAATGTCCAAAATCTCAAACTTAATCTGAATGGTAAAAAAGAAAAGATACTGTAGCTCGGTTACTTGTTAATCTGATCAGTACCACGTAGTCGTTATGCGAATTCTACGTTTTATGATAAACCTATTGGTTGTATCTAGAGATGGTTAATCTGTTGTGTGGGAACTTCATACCAATTTTATGGCTGGTCCAAAAACTACTTAATCTTCCTTTCATCATGTTTTCTTAATGGCTTTTTGTTCTAAATTGCATTCATCAAAGTAGGATGCTATATATTTATGCAGATATTGGCAATCTATCCAAAACCTTATGGCGGTCTAAATTCATTTTAAATTGAAGCCTAAAAGTTGTTCAAAGTTTGCTGTTAGATCTTCCTATTATACACAAGTCTTTCTTCCTCGGTCCCTCCCTCCCTCCCCTTACACAAATATGCCCCCTCCCACACACACCACTGCACAACCACCCATACCCACCGCCTACACCACTCTCTTACTCTCATTGTCACTTAGACACACAATTACTAGTGCAATGGGATGCACATGCCCACACACTTGTAGACTTGCAGTCACACTGAAGCAGACACATATTCATACACTCATACATGCTAATATGAATAAATGAATGTGTAGATTAGGATGGATTAGTGTCATTATGAGTTTTAGACTTACTAGGTGATTAGTGCATTAAACGTCACCATCTCCTAACCACCATAAAAAAAAGGGTTGTTGGCATCCTACAATTACCCATAGTGCACCCCTAACCCTGTTGCCAAGACTTTTAAGCAAGTTGCAATTGTCTAGTTATGCATTTTAATGAATTACAAATATTATTCTCTCCCTTTTCTTTGTATTTTTGTGAAATGTTTATATCAAACAGTGCTTTGATTTGGATCAGGTGTTCCTATCAAGCCCATTGCAGTTCAAAATACTGTCAAATTTACTCTCATATTCTTGATCCCACTTTTTTCTTCGGATCTTGCTGCAAAACTATCGACTTTGGTGTTGTCCACCTTCTAGATTCTCATCGCCATATCCGTATTTTTCTTTGTTGGTCGCCTCCACCTATCCTACACTAGATCCTCTTCTCACCTTTGCTCATCTCACTAGATTCACTTCTAGCACCGACATTATCTATCTCATTGTTTCCACGACAGCCAATTGTATCATTGCTTTAAACCCGTTGTCAATTTCCCTTTCGCTCATCTTGTAGTCCGTGAATCAAATCGAGCAACCATGAATTCCTATCCTGATATAAGCTTCCTCCTCAAACATGCCTCCCAGATCTAGCTTTGCATGGTGTCATATGCCTTGATGATCCCCATTGTGTTTGACAGGTCCATATAGGGCCATTTGCCTCCAATGTTCATCATTCCTGTTAAAAATAATTCTATAAAAAGGAACCACCAGCTTCAGTGCATTCCCTCCTTCTAGGCCCATTGCTCTGCTAGCTCAAAAATCAATCATTTTCATTATTATTATTATTATTTTTCAATTTGCTCGACCTTTCGAGCAAGGTTGTTGTCAAGGGGTGGGTAATGATACAAATAAATTTTGGGATAGACTAAGATGTGTTAGTGTCATTATGGATCTTATACATATTATGTGCTTAATATGCTATTAGGTGCCCTTCTATTCCCACTACCCATGTTGAGTATTATAGACCAGCTAGACCTAGACTGGTCCATGTCTACAGGAGGCGGACTCCTTCCCCCTCCACAAGTGTTCAACCCCCTTTGGGGGTGGGGCCATTCTTTAATGCAAAAAATTAATAGATGGTTTAGGAGGAAAAATTCAAAGTAAATGGCTGTTTAGGGATTTAGATGTTTGTTGTTTTGCTTTAAGTAGATTCTTGTACTTAGGGTTTGAGTTATTTTATGTTTTTTTCAAAATTTGGAGAGTTCTTTGGATTTGTATGGACTCTAGCGGTTTTTAGAGATTTGGGAGAGCCGGATCCTCATCTCCAATTGATGATCCATTGTATCTTGCTATTTCTTTCATCTATTATTAGTAAAATCTTTTCTCCTTAGTATTTCCATCAAATTCTTCTTAATTTCTAGTTTGAACCTTGCTGAAATTCAAATTCAGCCAAGGGAAATCACGGAGTATTAGGGCAACAAGCAGTAAAAAATGTTTAAATAATGAAGCTTTGGGTCTCTCTTTTTCTCCCCATAAATACCAGGAGTTGTGAGCATCCTATAATTGCCAAAAGCCTTTCTCCTCTATTACTAGGAGCTTTAGGCAAGCTACAATTGCCTAGTTTTCTATTTAATCCATTATTATTATTATTTTCTCTATTTTTGGGTATTTTTGCAAAATGTTTGTATTGTATGCTCATGTAGTCTGACATAGATATGTGACACATAAATCTTCATAGTGACTCGCATTAGGAAAATGTTTAATTTTTTGCTATTTAACTGAGCTATTGTTGATTATCAATCATAAAGGTGCTAGTTGTGTAGGATAGACTTATGTTCAGTGTTGCAGGAATTTCTAATTTAGATAGAAAAGCCTCGATATGACCTATTTCACTCGAAAGTCACCTATCTTAGAAAAAAAGTGATAATAATTTGGAGTAGGATTTAGTTTAATATTTGAGATCAAACACAGCACGGAAATATCATGATTTAACATTTGACTTGCATTGAGACCCTAAGTTGATTTTTCTGGTAACTAATTGAGGTATAAGCAAGGAAAATGGAAATTTAAACTGGAAATTAATGAATTTCTTTTACATTTTCTATACACAAATTTCTTAAAAAGGCTAGTCATGTCACTGTGCCATTTACTTTTCTGCAGCACTGTTTTTTCTGGTTTATGCCTGGCGGACTGTCTTATGGGAACTTTCAAACTGGAAGAAAGCAGCAATAACTATCTTAAGTTCCGTTGTTTGGTTACTGAAGCTTTCACTAGCCTACGTGTTTCGGTTGATTGGTGATCCTATTACTGGTTTGATTAGATATATTGAATTTGTGCTCTATACTATAAGGTATGTTTATGCCAGTATTGTAGCCTTTGCTCCGGTGCCCGAGCTAACAAGGATAATCTTTTTCACGTCAACTATATTGGCCATTGCTGAAGCTACAGTCCCTAACTCTGTGAACGCCCAGCCATACCTTCTAACGTTGGCTGGAATAGTTGGTTTTGGGACTGTTAGGGGCTTCATTCCTGAGATACCTTTCTGGATGTTCCTCTTTGGTATGTTATTCTACTCAAAGTTTATCAAGAAAAGAGACACTGTTTCTGCTGCTTTGCCATCTGCTGCCTTGTTGGCAGCTGTGGGGGAGCCATGGGTGAGGGGCATTGTTATAACATCCTACCTGGCCCTTGCTATTGCTCAGTATGCTAAGTACTCTAATGATGCTATGGGTACAGAAGTCCCCACAAGCAACAGAATACTACCATTACCTCTTCTTCTAGCTTCGTTAGCTATTGGAATCAATCTTGCTGCAAAGTGGATCCGCTATCGACACTTGACATGGATGATAGTATGATGTAATTTACTAGGACAGTTTCTTGTCTTCTCTTTAATTTTCCTCTGTATCCTATTTAATTGCTATGGTTTTCTTGGAATAAACAGTACATCCCAAAGATTTCTTAATGTTCATAATATATCCATTTTTTTGGTGAAGGTATCATTATTCAGTATATTTGAAAACTAAGAGTAGTTAATGACGATTAATTTGTATTCCTTGCAAATTGGGTTCCTAATGAATTTGGTATGATCGTGTTTAAGTTTTAAAATTTGCATAAATTCTGAGCTTCTTGTCATGCTTATTTTCAATTGTTATACCTGCTTCATCCATTTGTTAGTCTCTGGCTTCAATTATTTCCTTGGAAGCTGCCTTACGTTTGTGAAAATTGCTCCACCATTTGTTTGAGTTCCAGCAAAGTCCTCTACTTGAGGCGTATTAATATGCCACGTAAGATTACATATTGATCAAACGGGCAAGATCATTTATACCTGAAATATTCTTGTGTTTGAACGTTATTGCATTTTTGAATCATTTTACGTATTTTATTGGTATTATTTATTTATTTATTGTTATTATATGCATCATTCTGTAGTGATTCTTTAATTACTTGCCCCTTTTTACAAAAATCATCTAAAAATAAGTGTAAACTGGCTACTGGTAGTAGATACTCTTGTAAAAAATCATTATCATATTAAGACAACATGCAACACTCACTGATGATCAATGAAGATTACCCCCTAATAGTTCGGATAAGGCTAAAAATGATGATGATGAGTATCATACAATCATGCATGATGACCGCTCCAGTAGTATCCTAATTGTTTGATCGAGTGCTTTGTGAATAAGCATTATTTTGTTTATTTTTTTAAATAGTCTGTCATTTCTCTTTTTTTAAAAGTAATTTCTTCTTATTATCCTATTCTGAACTTTTTATCTCATATGATAGATTGTGCATTTTATTGAGGAAGTCTGATCGTTTATACTTCTCTGAGTTTTTTCTATCCTCATGCTAAAATTGCAATATGAGCATGGAGGCATAAAAACTCATAGATTTGGTGTTGTCATCACCTTCATCTCTGCTTGCTTACAAGAGTTTGGAGTTGAATTGCAACACAACATAATTGTTGCTTTACATGCCTTGGTACAACCGCTTTATTTCTGCATGATTTCATAAGAAATTCCCCTTTTCTTGGTCTCGTTTATAAGGTGATCTTATTGAAGAAATCCCTTTTCAACACATTGCAAAAGAGTGGAAAGATGGAGCTGACTGATCCTTTAGGCTGAAACATGTCTTTTATGAGCCTTTTCATGAAGAAATCCCTTTTCAACAGTCTTCAGTGTAAGGTGACACTCAAAATGGAAGGAGAGAGATCTATCATCTTATTGATCTGTTGGGTTTCATATTATGCACTTAAAAGATATAGTTTGTTTGGTTTGGTAATAGTTTAAAATTCTCATATTTTAAATGTCAGTCATGGACAAATGCATTTAGGATTGTTATAATATTAGAAAATTAGATTTATGAGTCATACAATAAAATGATGGGAGAGTAGTATAGCATTGGCTTTAAAAAGGCAGAACCAGTTTGATGTTAATATGGTAAATTTCATTATTGAGGTGAATTTGTGTTAAATAATAGAATGTATATGGAGACAGTTATAGCTTTTATGTGGGTTTTGTTGATCTTATGGAGTAGGTCAACATTTTGAAAAAGAGAGATGTCAGAAGTGTGTTGAAGTCATTGAATGTGTGATAGTTAAAATACTAGTGTTAGATGTTGTTGTGGAGTGAACAAAGATTTGATAATTAGGGTTTGTTTGGGATGACTTTCTTACTGTTTCTGAAAGCTACTTTAAAAAGCAGTAAGAAATAGTACAAAAATTAAAAAAAAAAAGTTGTATTAAAAGTTGTCATGACCCGACCCGGATGCTCAATCTAATGAGGCGGGTACGAAAATTCTGACCATAGAATTCATTAAACATTATACCACTTCTTCTTTTGTATTGAAGAACCACTAAAACATACAATGTAAATTACCTGTTGTCATTTGCATGTCATCTTCTATAGATGAAATCTTTTCTTTCAGCCATCTCTTTTCTTTTGGGTACTTACTTGAAACATTTAAATTCGTGGGTTGAGTTTACTAAGTAAACTCAATGGGTATCTATTTAAAACAATCAATATAAATAATGATTAATATGTATTCTATCATTTCATTAATTTATACATATCCGGACATTTTCTTTCAAAACAATTTAAATCTTTAATATTTCATTTATATTTCCTTTTCTCATTTGATTTGCACAGGAGCACCGTCTCAAAGTACCCAAAGGTACAACCTTTTCCATTTCCATGACATTTTTCTTTTCCTTTTTCGTGCACGAGTACGACATCCTCAGCCAGTACCATAAGGGGGTGAACTCCTTTAGTTTTTCAATACCTTTTCCTTTTATGCTACATTTGTTTTATTTTCATTCATATATGACTTTTTACTTCCTTTTCTTTTCTATTTTCCCTTTTTTTCCTTTTCAATCCTCATTGTTATAATTGTATATAACATATCTTATATATATGCATTTATAAGTATTACCTTTCATTTTCATAAACTTTCAAACATTTATAATGGATGAATTTATTGATAATACTATAAAATCATAATATCTTCACCATTATGAAATACACAATTAATCAATTACTTTAAAAGATTCCAATTATGAATAAACTTATAAAACAATATAATTTACCCACTTTGATCTTTCAGTTCGTCGATCCTTGTCTCAACCTCAGTCTCAAAATTCTATCATTGTTGAATTCCTTGAAGAACCCAACTTGTACCACTTGATTTCTTGCTTTCCTCTTCAAAAATTATCATAAAATAATTTTAGGGATTTATTCTACAAAATTTAATAGAAACATATGATAACAAAATCACTTACAAAAGATGATTATTCCAACTCAAAATCCTTCTCCTTTTTTTTCCGAATTCTTCAAATCTCTTCTTTTGCCTTTAACGAAACACCCCCATTGCTTAGGTGATTGCTTAGATGAAGAATTAGGAAATGATTTATACAGAAAATAAAGAATTAAAAACTAACCTTCTTCTCTTTCTTCCCTCGGCCGTTCCTCCCTTTCATTGAAATTCTCCCAAATTAGCACACCTTTAATGGTAGAAATGAAAAGGAATGATCAATTCTTATCCTCCAACGCGATCGATTGCTAAAAAATGGCAAAAGAAAATCTCGAAATCCCTCCTTCGCACGTTTGGTCCTCCGCCCGCTCTGTTCCGCTGCTATGATTGCGAAATAGCGACCCGCCCTGGGTCGCAACGCCTAATAAAGGATGGGGTGGCCGGTTTGATTGAACCGGCCCCCAACCGGTTCATTACGAAAGTTGCTTCAGAAAGCAATAAAAAGGCCGGCCCAATCGTAACTTCAGAATGGAATTGTAATGTTCAATATTAAATACATGTATTTTTGTATTGATTATGTAGTTGCTTATAATATTCATAATGAAATATCTTTGTGTTTTTTCCAGAAATGTTATAGATCTATTTGTCGAGATATTTGTTGATAATTAATGAATATTTATAACAATGACAAAGATTTATGTGATCATACTTAAATGGTATGCTCTATTGCAAATATGTGACATATTTAAGATGAATTTGCAACAAATGCTTGGTGTACTATATAGTTGATGGATTCTTTTAGCAATCAATTTTTTTCTGAATTAGTTATAGATTCATCACAAATTTGATACACTGTCAAATTTGTTACTAGCCGGAAGTCTCCTTGACTTTAGCCAGAAAGTCATTACAAATTCATCGCAAAATCATCACATATTTGGAAGATCGTCCCAAATACAATAACCTTTTATCTGTAAAATGTTGAATGAAATATTTTTGATGGAGAATTGCTTTTCATAAGTTTGGTGCTTGGCAGTCTTAAGTATTGTCTTTTCTTTGATGAGTTAGATAGTTATTTTTATATTTCTTTAAGTTAGATTAGATCAAGCTGGAATTGTCTTGTCATTCAGTCCACCAAACTCCTCAAAATCTTTCACATCCACACCACTAACTCCATTGCACTTTCTCACACCTTAAACTATACATAGCTAAATCTAGCCATATAACTTATTGAAAGAATGAAAGGTCACCTACTTTTATTTGGTATGAGAAAAAATTTAGAGGCAAGCAAATTTAGCTTGTGGTGGACTTGCCTCGGAAGCTTGTTGGTCACTCTATCAAGTTTAAGATTGGCAAATTCTTTTTAATGATAGATTAATTCCTTATTAATATCTAGGATATTAAGTTAATTATTTAAGCATGCCATGATAGCATAAAAATCTAATTAGTGAGCTTATGTATTTTTGTGAATCTATCACTAAGCTTTGGCTTATGTGCAAACCTTTGTAAGAGAGTGTTTTGTTTCTTATTTTAAAGCTTTGCCTTTGATATCAAAATAACTTGTTTAATATTTTTTTTCTTAAATATTTTTCTTGTGGGTATAATCTTCTTATTTTTTTATTAAATATCTTAAACTTTATAGTTAATAAGTTATAGAAAAGTTTTTTTTGACCAAAATGGGTTAACGGGCTTGGTTTGGGTCATTTGGGTTGCTAGCGGGTCGCCTTCAGGTTTTTTTTACCTGTTTATTAAATGAGTCGGATTCAGGTGATTGAATTTGTGTCTGGTCAATTTCAGGTCGGATGTGAATATGATCCATTAACCCACTTTAACACTCCTAATAGGAAACAATCATTTCATAAGAATTGAGTTATGATGCACCGACACGGACACGTCGACACGGACAAGACACGACACGGACACGGGACACAGCATTTTTTAAAACCATAGGACACGGGTGCGGCGTGGACACGACATAATAATTTTTTAATATAATATATATAAATTAAGTTGACATTATATTAAAAATGACAAACAATAATAAATCAATTTCATGATAACTTGTTTAGCTTATAACAAAAATGTTTAGTACAAAATGTACCTAGCGGTACCGAGCATGTACTGAGCAGTACCTAGCGATATCGAGCATGTACATTAGCTTTTTTTTTGGTAAGTTTCAAAAAACAACAATTAATATTTTAGGCGTTGAGAGTCAGAAGTCGATGTCATTTATCAGTCACCGAGAGAGGAGATGAAAATACCTTCACTGCCAAAAAGAAATTAAAATGAGAATATTCGATGATTTGGTATTAAGTGCGGACGTTGATTTGGTGTTATGGATAGGAAATAAGAAATTTAGTTTAAATCCTGCAAAATACAAGAAATTATTTAAAAAAAAATTCATAAAATGTTTAAGATACGCATGTCGGACACGCGTGTTCAATTTGCATTTAATATTTTTTAATCGGACACGTTTTCGACATGTTCGACACGTGTCGGAGGAGTGTCGGACACGGTGTCGGACACTGCACGCCTCTTTGAGGAGAAGTGTCGGTGCATCATAGGAATTGAGGTAGAAAAAATCATCATAAGAATGCTAATGACTTAATTGATCCCTCCTAAAAAATTAAAATTAAACCAGTCTCACATATAATGACATTTATGACCTAAATAAGTTCCTAAATTGATTAGTTTAGATGTATGATTTTATGACGGGTATAAAATGAATGGCTTCTAATAGTTAAAATGAAGCTAATATGATATGCCAAATTTTATTGGACAGACATTCTGGCCAAGGAGCAAAGTTTTATGTAGAACCAACCAAGGTTTAAAATTGCATATTAGGGTATTGAGGCGTTTTTCATTCGTGAGGCGAGGCGTAAGCCTCAAGGCGATTTGAGGCTTAAGCCTCAAAATCAAAAAATTGCGTAAACATAAAATAATAAATTTTGTATATACTAATGAGTAAATAATATATAAAACATAAAAATGCACAAGATAAATAGCAATGACATTAACATATTACATAAGAAGTTAAGAACTCACTAGTTATCAGCATTATCATCACTCATCAGTCATTACTAAGGGGGTCTTCATTTGAATCATCATTATGATGAGTTGCTCTCTCCTCTTCCCCCTCTCCTATAGAGTCCAATATCTCCCAATCAGCTTCTTCTTCCTCATTATTAGTTATCTTCCTCTTCCCTAAATAGTAAA